CTTACGTACTGCGCTTCTCATAGAGCGAAAAAAGTGTCGCACGGAAAATGCTGAGATTCACTACGGTGACTGATCGGTAGCTTCTCAGCTCATACCATGTAGACTCTTGACCCGAACTCTGTTTTGTGACCTTGAATTGAACAGACAGCACAGGACTGCAGGTGGGTATATATGGCTGACAGTGACGGCAGATCGCCGCCTGAGGACACAGTCTCCACTCCGTTAAGGGTAAGACTCAGGCTTATTCCCCTGGCCGAAGTCGGCCCGGCTGAAGACAATCCCGCCACTCAACGTGGTCATTCAGTAAGATGTAGAGCGCATAGTGTCCGGTATAAATTAAGGGATGAAGCAGATCTGGGCTGACGTATAATAATAGTATGCATCTAAAGTTACATCTCAAAGCAACAAGCTTGCACAGAGCTGAATTGTACATAACGAGCCTCCCGAGGCTGGGTAGTGAAAATAAAAATATAGACAAGCGTGCGCAGAGTAACAAAAACGCTACAGATCAGACATCCCCTATTTCAAATGACTGGCGACGCGGCCGCCGCAGCTTCAGCCAGTCCTGAGATCAACGACTCCGAGCGCGTCATCTGCGGCCGTTCGGCTGAATCCTCCACCTCCAGCCCCTTGGCGACCAGGTCGGTGAAGTCGACTCCAACCTCGGTCAGCAGGCTGGCATACTCGTACACGATATCAAGACATTTCTGGTACACGGTGGTCCCCCGCTGCACACTGCTCAGCTGCCGCGTGAGGAGCGCATTGAAGCCGTCGAGGTGATGCTTGGCCCAGCGGATGCTGGCACTGGACATGGCCGGCGGGAAGCATTGCTGATAAATGCTGATGGTGTTTTTGATCAAGGTGAAATAGACGTAGGAAATCTGGAAGATATACATCGGGAGGTCGCCCTCGAAGACACAGGCTCTGTAGCACGTCAGTTCAGCTCATTACGATGGGAGCAGAAAGAAACCCACCTGATCCGCTTGGATATGACATCAGTTCGCGCCTTAAGATAAGCCTCCCTAGCTTGGTCCTCGAAGCCCAAGCGCATCAGCCACGTCGACTTGGTCTTGGTCGCTTGAGGGAAGGAGGGAGTGTCCACCAGAGCACGCAGCAATACCTCGGCCAGGGCGGCCGCACGCTCATCCACCTTGGTTGTGATCACGTCCTGCGCGACCGCATTGCCCTTTAACCCTCGGGCAAGTTTGCGCAACCGCTCGATGTGGCCCACAGCATCCTCGAACCGCTGCAGGGCAATATCAATGTCCAGCTCGTCGATCTGACCCTCCACCCACCGCAGGTTCTGTTGCTTGCCGTCTACATCAATGCGCACCTCAGGCTTGTCTCGCCCACCGTCCATACTGACCGGCCGATCCGGCTGCGGAGAGTACGAGGCGTGGCGATAGCCTATTACCTCAGGGACAGCTTTGCCGGCGGCCTCGGTGTCCGACCGGAGGTTGCGTCGGAGATCCTCGACCGTCTTTCGAAACGTGGCCAGTAGGTCACTCTTGGCTGAGCTGTCCCGCTTGTCATGCCGGTAGGTGAAAGGTTTGCCTCCGACACGCACGTTGATGGCGTTCGTGATGCCCCGGTCTTCAGCATCCTCGCGCGCAACCCCCGCGCCGAGATTGGCCCCGAGATCGATCATATCCACATCCTGAAGGGGCCAACATTCCTCTGCCACCAACTTCGTAGGCACGGGACCACGATGGCTGCTCTGATCCACGCGCTTGCGTTTCTTGGCCGCCACCAGCAGGTGATCGTTCAGCAGCACAATGTGCACCGGGCGCCGCGGCTTCCATGTTGCCGAATCCAGTTCGACCCAGTGTCCACTCTCCATCACAATGTGCCGGCCCGGCACCACCGGCAAGAACTTCTGCGATCCTTCGACGGTCTTCCACAACGTCTGCAGCTGCACGTTCCACATGCTCTCAAGATTTGCGACCGAGCTGCGGTTGGCGTGACGCTTGGGCAGTCGTTCATCGGGCATGGGCGACATAGGGTTAGGGGTGGTGCCGACTGTAGTTTGACCGAGCGTGGTAGTCAGCTCCGCCATCAGGGTGCGCAGGGTGCGCATTTCCCCTTTGAGCTTTTCCGCTTCTTTACTGATCTTGATGAATTGGGTCCGGTTCTGGTATACATTCTGCTGGAGGTCGGTGGATGTTCGGTTCTTGACTTTTCGTAGACTGCGCTGGTATTCCTCAATCTCTTCTTCCGACGCGTTCGCAAGCAGGTTGGCCACATCTAGATCCAAAGTCAGCGTCCAAGAAGCCGGCTGGGTTGGAAATAAAGCCACGCCAACTCACATTTATCGACGGGCAAACTGGGATCCCGCAGCGCATCCAAGTCCACCTTTGGCGGACCCGACGATTCGGTGGAGGGTCGGCGACTCGTCTCGGGCGGGCTCAGTCCTCCATACGTGGCCGGGAGCGGAGGTAGGCCGGGCACTGGCGGCACACCATCAAAGTCAGGGACTTGGTTGAACCGGGTCGAGTACCGTCGCTTGACGAGATCGGAGGTCGCATCTTTGTTGGCAGAGCTGGCGGTGGTCCCATGCACGGGGACGGCGGGTTTGCTGACAGCGGAAGCGCTGGTCGAAGTGCTGGGACTGGGGCTGATGGTATTAGGCGGAAGAGGGCCGGAGATGGGCTTCGGAGCACTAATCTGGGGTCGAGGACGGCGAGATTTGCTGCGAAGGGTCAAGCCACGGCTTTCCATGGTGACGTAGCAGGAAGGAAAGGTGAGAGGGGGGCGGGAGGGGGAAGAGGAGAAGAGGAGAAGATTGAACCTGCAATCGACCGGGAGAATTGTTAGAGAGAGGGAAGAATAATAGAGGGGAAGGAGACGACAACGACAACGACGGCCGATGATGATGATGATCAACTCCAGGCACGAAGGCCGAAGCGGGAGGGTAAGTCCGAGGCGGAGAAATGATGATCCCGGCAAAATCATTCCCCAATTGAGCCATTCGCATCTCGTCGTCATCTTCCACTCTCTCCCCTCGAGTCGACTCGCTACATCTCCATCTCCCGCGCTGTTTTCGTTTTCGCTGTCTCTCCCCGGTCATCACCGTCTCCTCCATCCCCACCTACATCATGAGAACCTCCACTTTGGTGGCCGCCACCGCCGGCACGATCATCACCGGTCTTCTGGGTAAGACTCAGTTACGCCATGCTATCTATGGCCTGCGTGACGTGCGTGTTGCTAACTCGCTCTCCGTACCTGTTTAGCCTACGCCGTCTACTTCGATCACAAGCGCCAGACCGACCCAGAGTTCCGTCGCGCCCTCAAGCGGAACAACCGCCGCATGGCCCGCGTTGAGAAGGAGGAAGCCGAGGCCCAGGGCGCCATGCAGCGCGAGTCCATCAAGGCCGCCGTGCAGCAAGCCAAGGACGAGGGCTTCCCTACGGACCTGGAGGAGAAGGAGGCCTACTTCATGGGTCAGGTCGCTCGCGGCGAGTCCCTCTGTGCTGAAGGTATGTGTCTTCCGCGGTAATTCGTCCTCCGCGCCCTTTCTCCGCAATCTTCCGGCGATATAGATACCAACCTTGGAGCAGAACCCGTTGAGGCCGCTTTGTGCTTCTACAAGGCCTTGAAGGTCTACCCCCAGCCTAAGGACCTCATCTCCATCTACGACAAGACGGTTCCCAAGGAGGTCCTGGAGATCCTGGCTGAGATGGTCGCCATGGATGCCGGCCTCCAGCTCGGCTCCTTCACGGCAGAGAGCTCCGGCCCGGAGAGCCACGGTGTGGAGTAAATTCGTCCGCCGTGATCGACTCTCTTTGTCCTTTACTCTTTCCTTCTCCATCCGTCCGCATTCTGCCTCGAACCTGCACCTCTGATCTGGAACGGGTGTCGCTACTGTGGTGACCTCCAGTCTCTGCAGGGTCATGGTCTGGCTGCACACCCTCCCGGACGGATCTGTCTAAACATCCTCTTTGATCCCGCTTTCCCTCTCCGCTACTCGTGTAATTTCCTAGGTCGTTCATGTGTTCTGCTTGCCTTATTTTTTTTTCCTTTTATCGTTTTCCCCTGTATATTTGCATTGGGTCTTGAGTGTCGATGAGACGGACATCTCTTGGTAATGCTCGGCGCCATCATGACTTGTGTGGGTTGATGCTGATGATTTTTTTCATGTTTTTCCGTGATTTCCTTGCTCCGGCTATTTGTTCTCTGCTGGGGCGTGTATTCTTAGAAGCGAGCAGTGGTTCTCTTTATTGCTGTGAGACGGGGTCATCGGGAAGAAAATGGGTGGCAGTCGATATAAAAGATGATTAAAAGTATAAGTATACTAAGGGATGAAAGGTCCAAGTTAACTGCAGTTATCTGCGACCGTTGCATGAATGCAAGAATGAATGAATGACGGGGGGGGCCACTCACTCCGCCGATGATCCTTTGTTTCATGAATCACGGACCTCGAAGTGCGTAATGGATGAGCAGCGCAATAATTCGCAGCTCGTGCCAGGGTCGATCGTCGGTGCCGCTTGTCTCGCCCCAGTGCCGGTCAGGCCAATGAGGGTGGAACGCGAGGTTGACCAGGTCCACTGCCAATTTGCGCGATGGATTTACCGTGATTAAACCACCGAAAACCACTGGTTAACAGTACTTGCTCAAGTATTAGTGGAGGAGAGAAATGGCCAGGGATGGGTTCATGTCTTGCTGCCCGGCCCTCCCCCCCTTCCCTTCCCTGACCTTGGAAGGTTGGTTGTACTTAATCATGCTCGCTTTCCCTGCTTTTTTTTTATTCTGTAAGCGTTAGCCTGAATCCCCCTTCGCTGCTTCCCTCTTCCTTCCCCTTCTTCGTCATTCGTTTCTTTTCCGTTGGTTAAGTCCTTCGTTCACTCGTTCTGAGATTATCGCTCGCTGCATTCGGTGCTAGACATCGACCTAGAATTGTGTTGTTGCTGTTGCACTTTGCGCACATTTGAATATCATCATCATCATCATCATCAGCTTCTATAGAAAAGGAAGGAAGAGAGAAAACAAAAAGAAAAGAAAAGATGGTTCCCGTGGGTGCCCCCCTTTTCAGGCAACAAACCATCCTATACTTCCTCATGATCGTGATCATCATGATCATCCCAGCCAAGAACAACAGTTAACCCTACCTAGACTTACGCTCGTCTGCTCGCCACTGCGTGCGCGTTGGCTACTACTGCCAATGCTGTCACCCCCCTTGTTGTCAAAGGCACCGATTTTGTCAACAGCAAGACTGGTGATCGCTTCCAGATCCTGGGTGTCGAGTAAGCAAGCCCCCGCAGTCCAGTTCGCCCTGGTCGTGCCATTTTCATAGAAACAGAATCGCTGATAGTCGACACTCGTACACAGTTACCAGCCTGGTGGTTCCTCTGGCTTCAGTACGACTGAGGATCCCCTCAGCCAGCCCGACGCCTGTCTTCGTGATGCCGCCCTGATGCAGAGCCTTGGTGTCAACACTATCCGTGTTTACAACTTGTCGCCCACCATCGATCACAGCAAGTGTGCTTCCATCTTCAACGGTGCCGGTATCTACATGATCTTGGATGTTAACTCCCCGCTGTACGGCGGCTCTCTGGATCGTACCGACCCCTCTGGCACCTACAATGCCGTGTACTTTGAGCAAGTCTTCGGTGTCATCGAGGCCTTCAAGGACTTTCCCAACACCCTTGCCTTCTTTGCGGGCAACGAGGTCATCAACGAGGACAGTGTCTACGAGGCCCCTGCCTACATTCGGGTACGTTATTTGCCTTGCGCTCATGCCAACTGTCAACTGTCAACATAGCTAAAATCCGATGTTTTCCCAGGCTGTGACCCGCGACATGAAGGACTACATCGCTAAGAACGCAAACCGGACCATCCCCGTCGGTTACTCTGCTGCGGACGTGCGCCCTATCCTCGTTGACACCCTCAACTACCTGTCTTGCGACCTCAAGAACTCGACCAGCTCCCAGGCCGACCTGTTCGGTCTCAACTCCTACTCCTGGTGCGGAGACTCCACCTACAAGGAGAGTGGCTACGACGTGCTCGTCGAGGACTTCTCCAACTCTTCGCTGCCCGTCTTCTTCTCCGAGTACGGCTGCAACCTGGTGACGCCCCGCACGTTCTCCGAGGTTGCGACCCTCTACGGCAAGGAGATGTCCGCCGTCTTCTCGGGCGGTCTGGTCTACGAGTGGACGCAGGAGGCGAACAACTACGGTCTCGTCGCCGTCAACAGCAGCGACACCGTCTCCCTGCTGACCGACTACGACAACCTGAAGACCCAGTACGGCAAGCTGGACATGAGCAGCATCGAGTCCTCTAACGCGACCCAGACCTCCCAGGAGGCCGTCACCTGTGACTCGGCGCTGATCAGCACCAGCACCTTCCTCAACTCCTGGGACCTGCCCAGCCGCCCCACCAAGGTCGACGACTGGATCAGCAACGGCTTCACCAACGCCACCGTCGGCAAGCTCGTCACCGTCTCGTCGACCGCGATCCCCCAGACCGTCTACTCCTCCAGCGGCGGCAAGCTCTCGAGCATCAAGTACACCGTCCTGGCCGACGACGCGTCCAACGTCCCCAACAACGAGACCTCCACCACGACCAGCAGCAACTCGTCCAGCTCGTCCAGCACCTCCAGCACCTCCAGCAGCTCCAGCAGCTCGAGCTCCTCTAGCTCCCACGAGAGCGGTGCCACCACCGCCGCCGCTCAGATGTCCGCCTCCGTCCTCGGTCTCCTGAGCGGAGTCACCCTGTTCGCCGCATTCTTGCTGTGAACCCATTCTCAACACATTATATAGAATCTTGAATTATATATTTTTCTTACGCGCGCCGATGTTCTTATGGCATTAGCTCGCTCATCCTTTTGATTGATCTATACGATGATTCTCTTGTTCCCGGCGAACGTGTTCTTAATCCCGCAGGGGGCCTCACCCTGACCCCGGTTTGGTCGGTTGGCGTGGAGACGAATTTCATGTACAAAGTATGACAGGTCTGGTCTGTTTTTTGTTCCACATCCCCCATTTTTGAAAGCCCCGGGGGCCGGGGCCATGGGCCTGGCATGAATGGGGAGGGAGACACGGGAATATGAGGTCTTTGGTTGCTTGCTTTGGTTGCTTTGGTTGCCCTGCTTTATGCTACGAGTATATCGATATCGTCTAATCCATCTGCTGTATATACCACACCTTTCCCTTTCGGGCTGCATTCCTGGGTCGCTTTTGCTTGTGCACGTTTATTGTTATGTATATGTTTAACCAGATAGTTACGGGAGCAGTAGTCTGAGAACAAGGACCTGACATTTACTACGAAGTGTGCTATGTGTGAGTCTCAGTCAAGTGTTTCACGGGATATTCAGTCCCATCTCTTTTGTGTAGATTCTCTTCTATTATGCACGTGTAGATCCATCCATTCAATATCTGAATCACAAGTTACAACAATCCCAAAAGCACGTCTAGAAACCAACCCCTGCGAGTTTAAACAAGGCACAGAAAGCGCATCGTAGGTACAGCACCACAACAACCACAAATATCACCACACAGGGGGAAGACCGCCCTGCGGACACAATTCCGGAAAAGATATGAAACAAACACCTAGAAAAATTACACGGACGCAACATAGCACGGGATTACTTCTATAAAGGATCCGAAAAACTCGGATCAAAGGGCGCGCCCCTTGCCTTTATCCCTGCCGGACGAGGGCGGAGGAGGCGGCGGGGTAGCCGGCCACGGGGCGAGGGCGGGGAATTCCTCCGGCTGGGACTGAGATTGGCTCTCCGCCTCGGCGAGACTCAGCTGGATCGCGAGTTGCAGGTCGTCGATCTCCTGCTGGCGACTGCTCTCGGGCAGGACCGGGGAGGTCGAGGCTGGCTGAGGAGACGGGGAAGTGGAATAGGGGGTTGGGTCGAACGCAGGCGGGCCGAGGTCGGGCTTGGGGAGCGGAGGCTGGTCCAGGAGACTGAGACGGATGGCCTCGGCGATCTCGGGGTCAAGGTTCTCTTCGTCGTCCAGAGGGTCTTCGTACGGGGAGGAGGCGGAGGAGAGCTCGTCCGGCGCGAAAGAGCTGTCGTTTGGACCGATGGTGTCGCTTGGAGAGGTGCTGACGGCGGAGCTGGCGCTGGGAAATGCGCCGGGTAAAGCGATATCGCTGCCACCCCGCTTGACCGCCTCACTAGAGAAGGATTCTTCGCTAAGGAGCTGGGCGTATGCGAGCAGTTGGTCTTCGCTCACGTCGGGCCCCAGGAGATCCACGCCGAAGCGCTGGCTTAAATGCGCCCGTTCCTTCTCGTCGGCGATCCTCTGGCGCTCCATTTCCACCCGTTCGTCCTGGATGTAGTCGTTCAGTGCGCCACGGCCGCTGTTGTTAAAACGCTGGCCGCCGTCTGCAGCGCCGTTGCTGCCTCGGAGCCCGCGACGCAGTCGTCGCTTGCTGGACTTGTACTGGTCGGCAGCGGAGGCGCTATAAGACCAGTAGCGCAGATGAGTGCCTAACGCGACCATGCCACGAAGCACAGTAGGATCCGTGTCGAGGCAGATAGCGCCGGTGGCGTAATAGTTGTTGCCAATTCCATGCATGGATGCTTCGGCTTGGACGAGACGGCGACGAGCGCGCGAGGAAAACCGTGAGTTGATGGTCCGAATAGGCCGGGTCGAGGATGCCAGAGGATCCCAGGCCTGAACGAGGCCGTCGTTGCCTCCATGCACCAAGTACAGCGACGTCAATGCTACGCTAGACACCTGCGGCGACTCAGTCTGGATGACGCGGATAGGCCCGATGTCCTTGATGATCTCGGGGTTCCTCGAGGCCGGAGATCGGACGTCCCAGACAAACACCATTCCCGTGGTAGTTCCCACAGCCATGTACCTTCCGCGTTGACCTGGTACATCGGTGTCTGATGTGGCCTGCTTGAGGTGTGGTAATGGAGACGACATAGCAGACGAGAACGCGGAACTACCAGACATGCCAGTCAGCGGATCCTCATCCGCCGTCAACAAGGCATAAGTTGACAGATCCAAGGCGGTGGTCGTTATCTGGACAGACTTCCGGTCATTGAAGTTGAAGTCCGAGATGCACCATTCGGTGTTTGCGGCTGTACAAACCGATTCACCGAACCCACTTGAGGCGCGAGATGGAGTAGACCTACCGGACGTGCCGGCCAATGAGGGTGTTATAGGTGACTTCACGGGCCCTCCGAAGAGGGACGGTGCAGGAGCACCATCCATAGCGAGGGGGCCGAGACTCAACGGCGGCATGGCAAGCTTGGAGATCTTGCGGGTGTAACGTCGGATCGCCGCCGTTTCATCCTCGCTCATGCCACAGGAGATCACTATGAGCGACTCGCCCGCGCCCTGGCCATCGTCTCCGGCAAAATCCACAATCAGCTCACGTCTCATATCCCAACCCTCGCAGACTTTCCTGAAGTGCTTGGGCTTGAACGAGAGGAAGCGCTCGATTTCCTTAGTCTCTGCGATAATCTGCTTCTCGTCGAGCTTCATGGCATCAGACGATGATCTGGGGCTGTAGCTACCATCGAGAAATTCCCGACTAAACGGGTCCGGTCGAGCAGTTCGCCGGGTCAGTTCTACCAACTCCCACCGGGCACTTCTACCAGTCTTCCACGCGAGCTGATCGTACTCTTCAGCAGTCAGCTTCGTGGAAGCCACATCCGGCTGTCGTGGGATATCAGACAGGTAGAAGACCTCGCCCAGTGCATTGAGGACAGCCGCCCAAATGCGACGACGCGCGTAGCGTCTTGGTGAGAAACTCTCATCGACAGCAATCGCGACGATGGGAACCCCTGGACATAGTACCCATCTCGCGGTCACCTGGCCTCTTTCGTACCGTTTCTCATAGGTAGGATGAGGGCCGAGAGCGTACGCTGACAAAATACCAGTGGATGAACCTGAAAGCATTGCAATCAAGCCATCAGTCATCTTGAGCATATTGGAGGACTTGGCGATCCACACAGCAGTGGTACCGCTAGTAATGTGATTGAGCGCGGGAATCCCCAAATGAGGCTGAGATCCCAGATCCGACAACCCCAAAAATCTACCGCGTTGCTCGGTCGTTGAGATGAAGTAGGCGCGGCCCTGCGGACAAGCCTCGCCGTATATCATACCATACGGCTGACTGACGTCCATGCGATTCGGCATGCCAGCGAGGTCTCCGGACCCGAGCCCATACTCGGCATCACCAGGGAAGAGATCGGCAAAATGCCGGAACATCTGGTGATCGGAAAGGCCCCAGGTCCCGACCTTGACCGCAGACGGGTCGCTGGCGGAGGCGATGCCTTGCTCCGAGGCCCCATGAATGAAAACCGGTTCCTTCTTGGTGACCTCCGACCCAAAAGAGCCGTGCAGATGGCTGACAGGGTACAGAAGCTGGGAGGTATAAGTGACCACAGCGCTGCCATTGCGGACATTCGCAGTGCGGACGGTGCTGGATCTCTTCGGCGGTTCGAACTGGCCCGGCTTGCCCCGGGAGAGCGACCGCAGCAAACGTGTGCGGAGGATGTACTCGCTCCGCCATGAAGCCAGAGCAGTCAACCGCGAGAAGTAGCGCTTATCAGACGTCACACGGTCCGAGTTTTCACCAACAGACAGCCATACCCCATCCTCTGCCGTGTACGGGCCGGGAAAGTACCGAGAAAATGCAATTCGCCACGCGTGGGGCGTGGTGACCAAAGTGTGAAGCCGGCGAGATACCAGCGCAATCGACGACAGGGACGGAGGCGGCAAATGCGACAGAATGTGCGTGAGTACCTCTATCCAGCACAGCAAATCAGTCTGCCAATCCCTACTTTGGACCAGAGGCGAGGTGCAAGCATACCGTTGGGGAAAGATTCCAGCGACAAGCCCGAGTACGTAGATGCTGAGGGCGTGACCTTGAGGCCCCGGTCGGCGGGGCTCCTGGAAAAGTGCGCCGCAGCAGCAAGCTCGTACTGGCCGACAGGGTCAATAGACGACGGGAGGGGTGGTGGAGTCGCAGAGCGCCCGTTTAAGTGCGGCTGTGCGCCGGATGAGTCACGGCTGAGAATGCAGTCTCCAGGCTCGCCATCGCGAAACCCAGAGACTCGTTGCTCACCATGCGAATCATGTCCATGCTGGGTAGGATCGAGAGGTGCTTCCGAGAAGGGTTTAACCGGAGGCGAGCGGTCGAAGACTGTGGAAGGCTCTGATTGCATAAAAGAGTTTCGCGGGGTAGGTGGCACAACGGAGGCGACTGAACCAGGGAGACAGTCTGGGTCAGTCGAAAGGGTGAGAGGGGCGGAAATTTGAGGGAGAGAAAGCGCGCGGACAGGCAGGATGGGCAGAGCGTATAGACAGCAAGTAGACAAACTGTAGAGTGGAGGAGGGAAGGTTGAGAGAGATCCAAACGAGAGAGAAGGGGAGAGAGAAGAGTAGGAGGGAAAGAAAGGTAGAAGTGACGAAAGGAGGGGATCGGACGGACCCGAGCCGGTCTCGCCCGCGTCCCATGATTTCCGTCACGTGAGCACGCGGCGAGGCGCGACTTTCTCGAAAAGGGAATTAATTGATTATTTCATTGTCAGCCCAATGATCGAACTACGCACTGGTACTGGATCCAAACTGCAACGAAAGGTCTTCAACGCTCTATGCAGGAGAAATCCCATCTTATCTTTCCAGTCGGTAGCGTAGGCAGCACTGGCCCATTCCAGGCAGCCAGGCGATACATGAAAGTCATATAACCGAGTTCATTCTAGCCGTCTGTCTACATCTCTTCTCGGTCATCAGAACTTCCCAACTTCATCATATCTTATTCCGCCATAAAATAGACCCACGATGCCAAATCTTGGCGGTAAGTCACTGTATCCACCTTGAAAAGTCCCTCAACTAAACGCCGACCAGACGCGGAAACCATCCGCATCCTCGTGGCCACCGACAACCATGTGGGCTACAACGAGCGGGACCCCATCCGGGGCGACGACAGCTGGAAGAGCTTCCACGAGGTAATGTGCCTGGCCAAAGAGCACGACGTAGACATGGTGCTGCTAGCGGGGGATCTCTTCCACGAGAACAAGCCGTCCCGGAAGTCCATGTACCAGGTGATGCGGTCGATCCGCATGAACTGCCTGGGCGACAAGCCGTGCGAGCTGGAGATGCTCAGCGACGCGAGCGAGAACTTCCAGGGGGCCTTCAACCACGTCAACTACGAGGACCTGGACATCAACGTCGCCATCCCCATCTTCTCCATCCACGGCAACCACGACGACCCGTCGGGCGAGGGCCACCTGGCGGCGCTGGACATCCTCCAAGTTTCTGGATTAATCAACTACTACGGCCGCACGCCGGAATCCGACAACATCCAGGTCAAGCCGGTGCTGCTGCAGAAGGGGCGGACCAAGCTCGCGCTGTACGGGATCAGCAACGTGCGCGACGAGCGGCTGTTCCGCACCTTCCGCGACGGCAAGGTGAAGTTCTACCAGCCCTCCATCCAGAAGGATGACTGGTTCAACCTGATCTGCGTGCACCAGAACCACCACGCCTACACGGAAACGGGCTACCTCCCAGAAAACTTCCTGCCGGAATTTTTGGATCTGGTCATCTGGGGCCACGAGCACGAGTGTCTGATCAACCCGCGCCGGAACCCCGAAACCCACTTCCACGTCATGCAGCCGGGCTCGTCCGTCGCCACCTCGCTGTGCCCCGGCGAAGCCGTCGCCAAACACGTTTCTATCGTGAGCATCACGGGCCGCGAGTTCAAGAGCGAGCCCATCCGCCTCCGGACCGTGCGGCCCTTCGCCATGCGCGAGATCGTGCTGTCGGAAGAGAAGGGGGCGCAGAAGCTCGCGCGCAAGGAGAACAACCGCACCGAACTCACGCGGTTCCTGATGGGTATCGTCGAGGAGCTCATCGAAGAAGCCAAGGAAGAGTGGCTCGAGATGCAGGACGAGGCGCCGCCGACCGCCGATGACGAGGACGACGAGCAACCCCGCGAGATCCCCTTACCGCTGGTGCGCCTGCGCGTGGAGATCTCCACCCCGGAGGGCGGCAGCTACGACTGCGAGAACCCGCAGCGGTTCTCGAACCGCTTCGTCGGCCGCGTCGCCAACGTCAACGACGTGGTGCAATTCCACCGCAAGAAGAAGAACACGGCCGGCGGCGGCACCCGGCCGAAGGACGGCGCCACCGCAGACGTCGACGAGGCGGCCATCTCGCACCTGGCGACCCTCGACACCGTCAAAGTCGAGCAGCTGGTGCGCGATTTCCTCGCCACGCAGTCCTTGACCATCCTGCCGCAGAACTCCTTCGGGGACGCAGTGGCGCAGTTCATCGACAAAGATGACAAGCACGCGCTGGAGATGTTTGTCAACGAGTCCCTGGAGAGCCAGATCAAGCATCTCATGGCGCTGGACCGCGACACCGACGAGATCGACGCGGCGGAGGAGCTGGCGCAGAGCTCGTTGCACAAGGCCATGGAGCGGTATCGCACACAGATGGAGGATATGTTCACCCGCGGGGTCAACAAGCGCAGCCGCCACGCCCGCGGCGGCAAGCGGCGGTACAAGCCCAAGCCCGACGGCTGGGACAGCGAGTTCGATGGCTCGTGGGAGGATCAGCCGGGCGCGCTGATCCACTCGGACAATGAGGGCGGGGATCCAAACGCGGACGTCGCCGCGGAGGACGGTACTGGATCTGCAGCTGCTACGACAACCCGCGCATCCTCGACCACGCGAGGCAGGGGGCGGGGACGCGGTGGGAGAGCCGCAGCTACGACGAGTACACGGAAAACCACCACAACCACGGCACAAACTACAGCCACGGCCGCGAAAAAGGCCGCCGCTACACCGTCAAAGACAGCTGCAGGTAAAGGCCGCCGCCGTCGCGCGGTGTCGGAGGATGAGGACGACGAAGAGGAAGATGTGATTATGCTTGACGATGACGACGACGATGATGATGCGGTATCCGGCCTGCCAGATATCCACGAAGAAGATGACGATGACGAGGACTCCCAGGCTCTTTTTGTCAAACAACCTGCAACTCGGACACGGCGGGCAGCAGCAGCAGCGGCACCTCCAGCTACCACCTCTACAAAGACTACGACCACCAGCCAACGTCGCGCAGCCGCTCCGCCTGCAGCCTCAACCCGAGCCACGGGCGGGACGAGCACGCGCCAGACGAGAACCCGACAGCAAACCCAGACGACGCTGAATTTCGTGGGCTCGCAGGGCAGCGCTCCCCCAAGCACGCGGACGAGGGGCGCACGCGTGGCCAGCGAGGAAATCGACGACGACAGCGATGGGTTCGAGCCGATGGCGGTGCCTCGGCGGCGGTAGCCAGGGCCGTCTAGTCTGCGGACGTATTACTCGATAGAATTTAGGTTGGGTCGATTCCAGTGTAGCGTAATTCAGCATCAACGGCGCATCGGGGGACAGATTTTTCCAAATGGCATGGCGTTCTCCCAGGTTTCACCATCTAATCGATCTATCCAGCGCGGTTTCTCGAACTTGAGCGCCAATCAATTCATCAATTTGTAGCTCGTCTACGACGTAGGAATTCAATTATGAATTCAATCATGACGCTCCGCAGTAAAACCGGGGTGCATGGCGCGGAGGGGGGGAGGGGGGCTCCGAGCCCCGAGCCCCGAGCTCCAAGCTCCAAGCTCCAAGCTCCAAGCTCCAAGCTCAACGGTGCGGGCTCGCGAGAAGAAATGCCCAGTGGGCGGCAAGCGGCGGTTGATTGCAGCCAAGCTGGGCAATGGGCTGGCTTGCAGTGGGCGGGCACAGACGCACTATTGCTTGACCAGTCCGAACTAGCGGGTGGCCATTGGTCCCCCTTTTCCAGTCGGGTGAAGTTGCAGCCATGCTAACCAAGGTAGAGAGACGGGAAGACAAAGGTTTTATCTATGATTGTCGAAGTCAAAGTCAGAGTCAGAGTCAGAGTCAGGTGTTGATCGAGTCTAGATTGATGATCGTTATCATGGTGGTGGTGGTGGTAGTTAATACTTAGTACTAGTAGAGAGGGCAGGCCGGATAAGGGGGCGGGGTTGTCGGTAGGTAAGTTAGTAGGTAGGTAGGTAGGTTAGTTAGTAGTTATGGGAAAGAGGATGACAGAGGGTAAACTTTACCTTATTCTCATCTCATAAACTCACTCCCCTGGCAGCGCAGCAATCACTCAATGTCCAATATCCAATTTCCAATAAAGTCAATCACACCATGGATCCATGATGGATGTAGGCTGCAGTCAACCGACCAGAACAAACGAATACGACATGGAAAGGGGAGTGCCCACTGCCCAGTGAGTACAGTGAACCCTGCTGGGAGTGCTGGCCAATCTCCACAAGGCGAGTGGATCCAGGATCCAGGATAAAGCCATGAACTGCCGGAGAGTCCAAAAAGATGGAACCCCCTGACGCTTTACTCAGTCGAGGAAAAGACAAACACCAACTCTCGCGCTGGCGGCTTGGCGAACCGAGATATGACCAGGAGAATTGCCGTTTTGGGTAACGTCCTCCAGCATCATGGATTATGCAGCATCTCAATTGAGCCTTCCAGCCTCCAGCCTCCAGCCCGCTCCACTCCTCCAGCTTTCCCCGACTCGAGTCCTTCCTTGCCTGCACTGTCCGCACTATCTGCATCGCCTGTGCCTGCCATGGTTGATCCGCGCTTGCAGCTTGGGCCCGCCGGCCTCGTTCTTCTGCCTAGTCTAAGACGTCTCCATCTTCCCCCTCGGCCATTTTCCTCTTCTTCCTCTTCTCTCCCTCCTCTTTCTTCTTTCTTCTCTTCCCCAGGTGTTTCATCCCTCAGTCACTCGTTTCTTCAAACTCCACTCCACTGACCATAGTCTTTCGTTTCGGGATCAGGATTTCTGATCCCTCGCCCGTCGGCAATCATACCTATCTCCCCCCTGAGTCACGTCACAATATCCAGTCCTTTACCACCTTTTCAAACACCGTAGAACGCTATGAAGTCCATTAGCGCAACTGCATGGCTTCTCATCGCCGGGGTCGAGGCCGCCAGTCATGCCCACCGTCATGGACACCACGCGGCCGTCGAAAGAGCCGTTCAGGCGACCAAGCAGACCGGCAGCTGTCAGTTTCCCTCGGACGCCGGCCTGGTGGCCGTCACCCCGGGCGAGCTGAACGGGGGCTGGGCCATGAGCCCAGACCAGGAGTGTACGCCCGGCGGATACTGCCCGTACGCCTGTCCGCCAGGGCAGGTCTCCATGCAATGGGACCCCGAGGCCACCTCGTACACTTTCCCGCTGTCGATGGTAGGTGTCCCCGCCAGCTCCGTGGCACGGACCACCCAACTGATCACGGCCTACAATAGAACGGCGGCCTGTACTGCGACGAGGACGGCAACATCCAGAAGCCCTTCCCGAAGAAGCCGTACTGCCAGGACGGCACCGGAGCCGTGAGCGCGAAGAACAAGTGCTCCAGCCATGTTTCGTTCTGTCAGACCGTCCTGCCGGGCAACGAGGCCATGCTCATCCCCACCTTGGTGCAGGAGCTGGAGACCCTCGCCGTGCCGGATGTCGAGTACTGGCTCGAGACTGCGGCGCAGTAAGTCTTTGTCTGAGCGAAGGTGGTGCATGCACTGACCGAAGCAGCTTCTACATCAATCCACCCGGCTATAGCACCGACACAGCCTGTGTCTGGGGAACTTCGTCGAGCCCCATCGGCAATTGGTCGCCTTATGTTGCCGGGGCCAACACCGACGCCTCGGGCAACACGTACGTGAAGATCGGATGGAACCCGATCTACCTGGAGTTGACGACGCCCTTCCGCGACGTGGTGCCCGACTTTGGCGTGGAGATCGAATGCGAGGGCGACAGCTGCAATGGACTTCCCTGCAAGATCGATCCGGATGTGAACGGAGTCAACGAGATGACGGGCTCCAGCTCGATCGGCGCCGGAGGGGCCGCGTTCTGCGTGGTCACTGTTCCTAAGGGCGAATCGGCGAACATTGTTGTGTTTGACAAGGCGGGCTCGTCTGGGGGCAGCAGCACTGTCAGCAGTGTTGTGGCCAGCAGCAGCTCAACCATCAAGAGCACCAGCACTTCAAGTACCTCGACCAGCACCAGCACCAGCAGCACCAGCAGTACCAGCACCAGCACCAGCACCAGCACCAGCACCAGCACCTCGGCTACTCCTACCAGTACCAGCACCAGCATCAGCAGCACCAGCACCAGCAGCTCATCCATCATTTCCAGCACCAGTTTCAGTACCGCTTCTAGCACCTCCATCGCAGACAGCAGAACCACCACCATCTTCTCCACCACCATCATCTTCAACCCCACGCGGATTCCCATTCAAGGCCCCTCATCGAGCGTGAAAGTGAGCCCATCTTCCGCCGCGGTCGCATCCGCCAGCTATACGTACGCGCCGCACGCTTTCGTTGAAACCGGCCACGTGCAGATGGAGGCGGTTGCTGAGAGTGCCAGCGAAACGGCTGCGACGCCGACCGTCATGACGGCGGCTCAAGGAGGCGCCAGCAGCAAGACGGTGTCGAGGCTGGGGTTGGTGTTGGCGGTGATTGGAGCCGTGCTGATGGTTTAGACTGCATGTCTGACCTTCATTTACTACATTAATTCTGTTTCTTCTTCACTTCACTTCGACAGGAACATTTTACCTTATATTATTGTATACCCTTATGATACGATGTTCTTGTATTTTATTGATTGATGAGTTTTATGTTAATATTAATCTTCGAGAGTGGTTGGCAATTGCATTGTTCGTGGGTACGACGTGAGTAAGAGTAGAATGTGTTGTGGGCCGTAAGGAGGAAAGTGAAGGAAGGGGAGATGACAGAAGAAGGGAGTATATTCGTAGCAACCAAAGCAACCAAAGCAACCAAAGCAACCAAAGCAACCAAAGCAACCAAAACAACCGGCCTCGGGAAATGCCAAGCGGGAGGGAGAACGATAGCGTCATCCACCTCCGTCTCCGTATCTACAGCCATCTTCCGCTTTTCCGTCTTCCATCGCACTCTCTTTTTCGTGTACACACCACAGAACTGAAAGTCTGGAAGTCTGGAAGCCTCAAAGTCTCTCAAAATGCCTCCCTCCCCACAGACGGTACGTCTGCCTTTTCTTTTCCACCTTGACCATGAGCTTCAATCACCACCCCAAACCCAAACCCTTCCAAAAACAAACCCCCGCACCCCTCAAACCCCGCACCCAACACCAACACCAAACACCACCCCCGATCCCACCACCCCATCCTAACTAGGGAATGCAGACAAAACTAACCAGCACCCTCCACCTCCTCATCCCGCGCCTCCGCCTCCTCCAAAAAAAAGACACCGCCAGCAGCGTCATCCAGCGCCGCGACCTGTCAAGCCTCCTAGCCGAAGGCCGCGACTCGAGCGCCCGCATCCGCGTCGAGAATGTGATCGCCACCGACACCGCCGTCGAAGCCATGGAGATGGTCGAGCTGTACTGCGAATTACTTCTGGCGCGGGCGAACGTGCTCGACCAGGCCGCGTTCGGGGAGAAGGGCGCGCAGGCCCGGAATCGCGCGAGACTGGCCGCTGCCGCTGCCGCTGCCGCTTCTGGTGGGAAGCATAGCGCCTCGGGGGAGACCGGAGGAAGTGGCAGTTTAGGCGGCAGGTTCTCGATTTTCGGGCTGGGGAAACACGCACCGTCACCGTCTTCCAATCCCCCCGGCGAAGCGGAGCAACCCCCCACCACCACCACATCAGACAACGGTACGCACGCGGCAGCGGCAGGGCAAGAGGAGTACATCGACGCCGCCCTCGACGAGGCCGCGGCGGTGATCTTCTACGCGTACCCGCGCTTCCCGCACGACGTGCGCGAGCTCACGATCCTCCGGAATCTGCTGGGTGAGCGGTGGGGCAAGGAGTTCATGGCGCTGGCGCAGGAGGATGCCGTGCCGGGCGTGCGCGTGCCGGCCCGCGTGGTGAAGGTGCTGCGCGTGCGCGCGCCGTCGGCCGAGTTGGTGGATTGTTATCTGAGGGAGATTGCGCGGGCTTATGGCGTTGCTTGGGGGGGTGGGGAGAATCTTGTTGAGGGGGGTGGGGAGGTGCCGACGATTTCCGGGTTGGATGGTGGTGGTGGTGATGGCGATGATGGTGATGATGCCCCCGGCGATGGGGATGGGGATGGGGATGATCCGTCGACACCGACACGCCGACAGCGCTCGCCGATCGAGAGCGAAGCGCGCCGGGCGTCGGAGACCCTCGCGCTGAATCAGGCGACGCCGCCCAGGGGCTGGCAGCAGGGCAAGAGTTTCGTGAGTGTGGCGCCGCCGGGGCCCACGGTGGATAATTTGCATCCTCGCGTGAGGGTGCCCGGGGATGCGGATTATCCGCCCTCGACGACGACGACGGTGGGCGAGGCTGGAGTGCCTGCCAGTGGGGCGAAAGCGAAGAGTGACATACCGGAGTTGGATGAGTTGACGAGGCGGTTTGCTGCGCTGAGGCGGTAGTTTGGCTTACACGTGTCTTTGGGACCGGTGGTGGTGGTGGTAGTGGTTACGTTCGTGTGCATACTTACGCTGGTTTATTATACCTCATGGTTTGGGACTGAATCTATTGTATTCGTCCTCTATACCCCCTCCCCTTTTTTCCGTCATCCACGCGTAGCAACACGCGTACAACAAGCAAAATGCACCAGGTATCAGTAGCGAACGCTCATAAACAAACCAAATATGCAAGCATGCGACAGCCCGTATATCCAAAACACCATCATCCTGGACACGGACGCATGTAATTATATACAGGGAAATATCAACAAGCAAAGAGATTTAGACCAAAAACTGGAAAACCGAGGCACTGCTACTCCTCCTCCTCCCCCGGAAGAATAATCTCATGCCCCGACCCCTCATACACGAAAATCGCCGCCACGCAGCCGAACACCGACACCAGCGCCACCAGCCACCAGGCGAAGCCCACCATGCCCATCTCCAGCCCGTACCCGTACCACGACCCCGAAAAGATCGGCCCGATGGTGCGGAAGGCAGACGACACGGACTGGCCAATCCCATGAATGGTGCCCAGCACGGACGGGTGCGGCGAGCAGTTGTTCAGCAGGATGATCGAGGTCGGCAGCGTGAAGGTGCGCGCCGTCACCTGCAGGAACAGCACCACGATGATCGAGAACCACACCCAGCCGCCGTTGGCCTGGCCCGGCGGCGGCACCGTGGACGGCGCCAGGGCGATGTACGGCGCAAACGCGTACGCCAGGGGGAACAACGTCAAAAAGTACTGGTAGCTCTTGGCCGTGCCCAGGCGGCCGTTGATGCTGGGGTAGATGGTGAACTGCAGGAGCATGCCGATGATGCCGAGGATCGCGGTCGCGAAGCCCACGCTCTGCGGCAGCATCCCCAGGCCGCCGGTGAAGACGAACGGCAGCTTCTGCAGAGGGCTCGTGGGGTCGTTGGCGTCGTAGCGCGGCGTCGAGAGGAACAACAGCCACAGGTTGTTGAAGGCACTGTGTCATGGTCAGATCGATGTCGTATGCAACACAACCGCAGAAACATACCCCATTTGGAAGTCGAAGAAGGCCTGCGCCAGGAGCGTGCACAGCACGTTCTTGGTCCAGATCCGACGGAAGGGCAAGCTGCGGCTTTGGCGAGTGTGTTTGCTGGCCTTCTCCTCCATCTCGTAGCTCTCGGCCGTATCCCGGCGGCCCAGTAGAGGGCCGGCCTCTTCGTAGTCGGCGAACGGCAGCCGGTGATACAGCGGGGAGGACGTGGGCACCACGGCGCGAACACCGCGCGCGAAAATCCGCATCGAGAAGACCCCCAACCCGGGTTTGCCTTTACAAGCCTCCAAGGTCTGCAACAATTAGTGTTGAACCACACTGCCAAGAGCCAGCCACTCACCTCTTCCAGACCAATGGCGACACACGCCGCCGCGAACGACAAGAAAATGGCGTTCGCCAGCATGGGCAAAGCGTAGGGGTAGCGGATCAGCCACTGCACGCCGTTGGCACCGCCGAACGACGAGTCGGGCCCAAATAACCGGGGATACGCCTTGACAGGATCGGCCAGCATCCCGCCCATCACTATCATACAACCATTAGTCAACCCACCCCCAAGAATCCTAGTAGATGGCGTCACACTCACCGGGACCAAACAAGGCGGCCACATTAAACCCGATTGGTAGAATCAAAAACGCGCGCGAGTGGTACTTCTTCTCCTTCACATTCTCCGCGATCATGGTCCGGATGATCCCGACAGTCCCATTGATGGCCCCGCCGAAGGAGCGCCAGAACACGGCCTGCGCGAACGAGGTCGCGAAGGCGACCCCCAGGCAGGACAAGGCGGTGCCCAGCAAGCCCACCAGCAGCACGAACTTCCGGCCACCCCACTCCGCATCGGCCACCCGACCCCAGGGGATAGCGGTCGCAAACTGCGCGGCGGTGAACGCGCCCTGCAGGATGCCGGCCTGGGTGGACACATCGGCGTCGGACAGGTTCTCGTCGAAGGACTTCAGCTGATAAAACATATAGGCCTGCAGGGAGGCAATCTGCAAGAAGTCGAAGACACGGCAGAGCCCCAGCAGCGCGAGCTGGCCCTTCTTCGGCAGGGACATCCAGGTCACCGGGGCGGGGCGCGAGACGGGCGCCGCGGAGGGCGTATCGGCCAGTTCTTGAGGTCGCAACATCGCGGTCTGTGATTGACTGTGGGAGCGACTGCGGGCATGGCCCCAGTCGAGAGAGGTGTTCCTCGAGGCCATGTTGTGGGAATCGTGGTCGTAGTCCTCGCAGCGGCCGGAGGAGCCTTCGGAGACGTCGGCTAGCGAGAGGTTGGATTCGCGACGACGACGTTGTTGGTGGTGGTGTTGTTGGTGGAGCGGAAAATTGGCAGAGGTCGAGGACGAGGGTTCGCCGCCTTGGTCGTGGCCGGAAGTCCACGAGGTAGCTCTGGTATGACGGGCAGCATGCCGATTCTTGGTGGACTGGGCGAAGGAGGTGGAAGTGGCCGAGAGGGGATTGGGGGTTGTTGGTGGGAGAGGCGAAGCGATGGCGGAGGATGATGTGGAAGTGGCCGTAAGAGGCGGCGCGGCGTTAAGCGTCAAGGATGGTCGCCGGCCGGTTCCTTGGGATGCGGTTCGTGGGACGGGCATCGGCACGAGTTGTGATAGGAGGATAGACAGCAGGAATGTCAAGGGAAAGGAACCAAAAAGACGCAAGGAGGGGCCAAATGGGTCAGTGGGTTAATAGTCTAAAGGTCAGTCGGAGACCCGGACGGTAAATACTGGCTGCAGCTGCAGCAATGAGAGGAATCAATTCGGTGAAAAGAGTGACAGTGACGATGCTGATGATGGCAGCAGAGCAGATGCAAAGAGAAAGAAAAGTCCAGTACAAAAGAGAGAGCGAGAAAGAAAGAAAGAATAGAATTAGAAACTAAACACACGATCATCGAACACGAAACAGCTCCTCCATCGCCTTCAATTGCTTGATTCGGGGGTGGGCGTGGAGTGGAAATGAACTGAACTGAAATGAACGGGGAGTGACATGAAGCAATGTGACAGACAGACAGACAGTAAAGGGATAGAAACTGCAAAATCTCAATACCCAATACGACCGAGAGTACCAGGTAAATTACAGCGTAGCCGAAAAAGGCTTGCGACGCAATTCTCCACCCTCCAGGCTTGGCACCCGAGCATTTGGTCTCCACTATCATCACTGAGTTATGCAATACATATGAGGTGTACAAACCATTGATTATTGTTATGAGTACGAGGATTCCCTCTCTCTTTTTCTATTCGATATTATCATTATAATCATCTCACTCTCTCCCCTTCACCGCAAAAGCACCACAAAAAAAAAAAAAAAAAAGAAAGAAAAAGAAAAAGAAAAAACCTACCACCACCCAAACCGCAAAAACGGCCAATACGCCTCGCCCTCCACGGGCACCGCGAGCGGCGGATGGCCCCAGTACGGCATGAGCGTGTTCTCATACCACTCCTGGAGCAGCCAAAAGTCGTGGGAGGTGCTGTGCTCGACGCGGCCGCCGATCTCGACGGCGAGGATGTCGGGCCCCGTGACGCGCTCGGCGCCGACGCACTCCTTGTAGTGGCGCGCGACGCCCGCGCACTGGATCTTGCCGAAGACGGCCTCGGCGGTGGGCTTGCTGATGCGCTCGCCCTCGATCTCGAGCCGCAGCTGCTCCTCGTAGAAGGCCCAGTCGTGCCGGTCCATCAGCTCCTGGGAGACGGTCACCACCACGAAGACCTGCTCGTGGTCGCGGTCGCAGTACCCGTGGCGGCTCAGGTAGTGCTTGGTGAAGTGGCCGTAGATGCCGTCGTCGTGGCGGACGGCGTGGTCGGGGAACGCGGGTCGCATTCTGGCGGATTCTACCGGGGACAGTTGCCTCTACGTGTAGTACTTACTTACTTGGGGGTGTGAGTTGTTACGTTGGAGGGGGGTGGGTTGTGGGGGGATTGAATGTGTAGGTGTAGTTGTAAATTGTAGTTGTATTTATAGAGTGACAGGGCCCAGTGACGATGCCGGTTATGCTCATTGAGTTCTATTGTCTATCGAAGCATTGATGCTAATCTGCTGGCGATTGTCGACAAGGAGGTTGTCGTCAAGCGGTTCAACAAAGCGGGCAGGGATATCCCTCTATACTTGGTAGGCGATCGCCGCTGACAGTCGATAATAATCGATTCGAGAACAAAGACCAATCTCACCTGCAATTGTGCTGGCTCAATTCTCGAGAACCTACCGTATGTGTACCTTAGTATACCCCAACTGTTGGCCCAATCAATACCCGAGGGATGACACAACTGAACGTCCAACTTCTTACGCAAGTCCATACGTATGCCTGCATGGATGACCTGCTTCCGTTCCCTATCAGACCTTCTGTCTTATGCACGAGGCAAGGCCTATTCCGGGGTTGGGTGGATCATCCACCCCCATGACGAACGGATTGTGGCTCAGAACTCGGGGTAAGGTGTTGTCATCACATCTTAAGTCCGAGGCACTCTGCCCCAATATGAGAAGACTCGTATTGTATCCTGCCATATGAATCATGGATCATATCGAACGATTCTAATATCTACTCTAGGAGTCGAAAACAAAAGCTGCTACCGTTCTATATGCCCTCCCTGCTGCCATGCTGAGCCCTGTCCCTCGGCCAGGGGCGTATACCGCGGCAGCTGTCTCCCCACGAATCGACGCCAATGCCACCAGGGAAGCTCGTCCGCTTCCACTGAGTGCGGGGCCCGTTCCATTTGATCTAGATGCTCCGTGGAAGCGCGCTCCTTAACCCGGCTGAGGTCCTGCTGCCGTCGCCGGTAGACCCGATGGATCGTGTAGATGGCCGCCACCGTAACCACAAACCCGAAGACCGGGGCAATCCACCCTACATTGTCTAGACTCGTATCAGCATCACTTTCGGTCATCTTGCCAGCTAGAAGGTCAAACTTACTGTAGGCCTTATCTGAACTGTGCGCCTCCGCCTCCTTTCCCTCTCCC